GGAGCCAGAATGGGAAGCAAGGAGTTGAACGTGAGTTCAAGGGTAACATGGAAGAAACTGTGTGAGGAGAGATGAAAATTTGTGGGTGATCATAGAACCAGATGAAGAGGATTGCAGAGAACAGGGTGAAACGAAGATATGCTGCTGAAGCCCTATGTTCCACTTGGTAGCCAAGAGAATCTACTACTTTAACGAGAGAAGACAAGGGCCAAGCAACAGATCAATTATTGAGAAAATCAAGAGATATTTATAGGTTTTTTATGTACATTATTATTAGCGATATTGTTGGCATAGAAGCAACGTCTTCTGATTGGTTGTTTTCTTGCTGAAGGTTATTCTGTACTCCTTGTGACCGTTTCTTAGAAAGCTACGCCATATATCTGCGAATCGTATTTGCACATGTTAATTCTGCTGCGACTGGTTGGTGAGTTCCTCAGGGTTAAGTTTTGTTATTGCTTTTTCTTATGACCCCGAATCGGGACGTAACATTGACGTAAATTGCTGTCTGCAGTTTTTGGCTCGCAGCCAGCTCTCACCACACTACTACTGTAACAACGGAAGACAAGGGTCAGATAGCAGATCGTTTATTTACGAAATCAACATATATTTATAGATTTTCATGTACATTATTATAGATTATTGTAAGCAAACAAACACAGTCTTCTGATTGGTGGTTTCTCGTTGAACGTTAATCTTTTATCTCTCTTTGGCCGTTTCTTGAAGTTCAGATTATCAATCTGCAAATTGTATCCGCCTACGCAAAGTTTGCTGTGGTTGGTTGTTGAATCAGTCTTTGTTCTTATTTTTCTCACGACCAATATTAGGGACGTAAACATTGACGTAAATTACTGTCTACCAATTTGGCTAGCAGCCAGCTCTCACCACACTACTACTGCTAATAATAGTAATAAGTGGTAATGTGAAGTATGTCTCCGTAAATCCCATTGGGTTCGGAATGAAAAGGACCTTGTGGCAGCTTAATTCGAAGTGTTCGCTTCGCAAAAGGACGAACAAAAGTCTTTAGAGCAATTGTGTAATTATTTTATCTCAAGCATACCTACATAAGTATAAGTCATTCCTAATGTCTACCTTCCCTTTAATGTTCAGTATGTGTAATATAGAAGAGACATCGGTCGACAGAAAGTTTTGAACTGTAAGAAAACTCATATTCCTTCTCTAATTCTAACTTGCATTATTTCGTGCCAAGTTCTTCCAGGCGACACTAATCACTCTATAAGACTGAATCCTTCATGCGACTTGGTTGTTAGACTGTAATTTGTGTAACTTTTTAGTCCTAGGTGTGTTGACCACCGACATGTTGTCAATCAGGTGTGCAGTAATAACAGTCTTACGTCATTTTAACAAATTTTAGAGGTATAGGTATTATTTTAGTATTTTAATCATAACAGTGGTGCACATCTATTCTTCACCATGAAAATTATCAGACTTCTTTTTCTGAATTTGTATTTTTTTTTGAAATTTTGAATCAACTTCTAATGATTAATATTTTAAGGCTTTAGCAATTAAGTGAAGAAATAAGTTAAATTTCTGGATTGCTGCTGATGACCACGTCCCCGAACTAGCGAAACAGTCATTCGGTGTTTAGATCACTTTGCTTTGGGTAGCAAGCACTGCCCGTTGACGTGAGTGGTGTCCAACCACTGTAATATACTACCATATATACTTTTAGAAATACACTGGGAGATATATGACTGATAAGTAAATCAACTAAAATGAATCAATCATGCAAAACGAAAGGTGTGAATATTTTTTTCAGGTCAAGTTGGGATACATAGGGGGGAAGGGGTAAGAGAGATTAAAATTAGTAGTAAAATGAATTACGGTTCAGTTGCATCGCTATGATAAATAATTAATTACTAGGGAAAGAACTTGAAGATATCAGGAGTTACAAACTGAATAATAATAAGACAAGTCAAGATAGTGGTGTGGCAGGTATTACTGAAAAGATTTATAAGTAGTATACAGATGCATATATAAATGTGTATATCACTGTCAAGAATATCGAATGGCGAATTTATTATCATTATTTATTTTATTCCTTTACGTTCCCAGTTGGACATAGGGCTTCAAGATGGTGCTTTGAAGTTTTGGTAGCAGTGGTGTTTATTTTTACAGGATGGGGTTGCTGACCCCATGCCCAACCTTCCCTCTTACCAGTCTTATTTCTGGCTTAGCGAGATAAAGGAGTGCGTCGGCCAGGGATCGAACCTCGAACCACCTGCGTAGTGGGTGAGCATTCTACCGCTGTGCCACCGACGCATCGAATGGTGAAGAGATGGCTTTAATGAACGATGCGTGAGAAATGAAATGAAAAACACGACAGGCAGACAAAGAAGAACAATGCGAAAGACAAAGAAGTACAATACCGAAGATGTATACATATTGTGATTCCACTATATGGTAGACGTGTTTTGCCTGTATCTGTGTCGCTTTACCAATCCTTTTGGTGTCTGTCGTTACAATAATACTGAGAAAAAAGACATTATTAGTGAGTATCCAGTACAGCAGCAATATACCAGACTGCCCCTCACACTGAGTAGTAGTTTTAAATGTGGCTTCAGTGTTTTCTGTTAGTTACCTTCAACCATCTTAGCGTCAATCAAAAGTGTGAGCGCGATAATAACTTTCTCAAGCTTGGTCCGTAGAATTCGGTTGGATACCTAAGATCACACAACTTAATCTTCACTATCATTCACGAACTAATGTAGAATTCATACTTTATGGGCAGAAAGTAATAATGAATCGACTGTATGTAGCGTTTATACTATACAGCCATATGACTAGACCTTGGTTGATATATTATTACACTTTTCAATATGTCGTCGTATTGTCGTGTTAGTGTTATTTCGAAGTCTTGTCTTCTGTCAGTTTTGTGCAATACGGTTGGTTGTAAGCATGCATTGTTTATTCAGATCACGTGATATATTTTAGTGTGACTTGTAATTGCGGTAACATTGAAAAATACGAAAATTAAATGGTATTCTCGTGATAGGGAAGAAATATAGATACATATATCATTTTAAAAGTGCATTTATTGATCAATACCTTCAATCAAATGGGCTTTCATTTCTTAAAACATCAAACTTACAAACAGTTGTCCTTATCCTATTGAATAAACTGACACCATCAAAATAAGATTTTAGAAATAGTTGTCCTATGAAGGTTGAGTTTTTTTATAGTTTTGTTGTCCTACACCGTCAACTTTTTCTGATAGGCTTCGAATCTTGCTTTACTTGTTGAAATTTGAGCATATCATTCATTCTAACTCATTAAATTATTATTATTTCCTTTAATTCCTAGAGAAACATAGAGGGCTTCAGCCGTGCGTCTCCACTGCGTCCGGTTCTCTGCTAGTTTTCACCTGGCTCCAAGTCTGTCCACATGCTTTCATCTCCTCTTCACATGGCCTCCTCCAAGTCACCCTTGCACTGACGACCAACTCGCCGCTTCCCTTTCGGGTTCCACTCGAGCAATGGCTTGTCTAGTGATGTCACTTGATGGCTTCCTTACAGTATGGCCAATCCATCTCCATTTCTTCCTGCCTATTTGTTTCACAATCGGTTCCTGCTGTGTTGGTTTGCTCCCACAGGTCCCTATCGCTGATCTTTTCTGGCCATCTGATCTTGAGTATTGAGCGAAGACAACTGTTAATGAAGTTCTGTAGTTTGTTTGAGATGCTCTTTATGGCGCGCTGGCCAAGTCTCTGATCCGTATAGTAGGACTGACTGACTTCACATTGGAGTTGAAAATCCGGATGTTATTTTTGATGCTGAGTGCTGTTGACCTCCAAGCAGACTTGAGAGTAATGTCTTGTCTTGCTTTCCGGATCCCTGCTTTGATATCCTCACCAATTCCGTCCGCCTGTAGTTGAGACGATGCTTCCCAGGTCGGTGGGTAGGTAAAGGAGGTTGTTTCTTTCAGATTTCCCCCATTTATGCTGATTGTTGTCTGTTGTTGTTGCTGTTGCTGTTGGCCAGGAATCTTCATCACCTCTGTTTTTTCTATGTTCACCTGAAGTCCTATCTTCTCTGGATGCTTCTTCTGCCAACTTGTTGCTTTTCATTTGCATATCTTCCATTTTGTGGGAAATCAGACATATGTCATCGGCGAAGTCTAGATCCTCCAACTGATTAAATACGATTCATAATTTACTACTGAGAAAAAATATGTAGTTTTCAGACTGTGCAACTAGAGCTGTAGTTCGAATAAAGTAAGAACGACAGTTTTTGCAGAATAAATTAGTACCATCATTTATTTCGTTGGGTTTTCGTCAGCTGCTTACAGCCCAAAGACATTATTAAATATTTCTACAAAAACAATTTTAACATACTTGCACAGAGTTCATTTTTAAATAACAACAAAGATCAATATATGTGTACAATGCTAATAATATTATTTATAAATCGCTTTATCCTAAACCATAATGACCATACACAATAGAAACTTTCGGCATTACATAATCAGACAAAAATATCCAGTTACACTTGGGCAAGGAAAGACTGCTAGCCGCTTCTTTCTGAACGCATAAATCAGGTTTCAGGCGCTTGATAGAGATTACTTCGGCAAATTTAAGATTTAAACTCTTTTGCCTATTGATAAATTTGAACGATCTTGGGACGTCCACCTCATGAACCGTGTCGTGTCAAGGAGATGCCTGGCGATGGCACTGTTGAAAGCATTTGTTCGCTTGAGACATTCATATCCATTCATAAAATTCTGTAGACTCTTCTATTTTCTACTGTAAATGGGGCTAAACACAGTGAGATATAAATTTCTACACTACTTGTCAAAATAGTACTTATTTCATGACTGTCATGGTATTCAACTATTTACGGTGGAGTAGCTGTCGATTTTTCGTAAGAAATGAGTTATAAGAAAAAACTCAGCCTAACTAACTTTGTTTTGATTTTGTAAATAACATCTTATAATAATGTCGGTATACAATGTTTGCTTTTTTCCAAATGACTTAATTTTTTCAGATATTACGAATCCTAACAGATCCACCATACAATCATAGACAGTTTCGAATTATTGCACTGTCAGCTACGCCTGCTTCTGATATTGAAGGTGTACAAACATTGATTGCCAATCTACTCATATCTCACCTTGAGCTTCGAACTGATACTAGTGCTGATGTCCGACCTTACACTCAACATCGGCAATTAGAGACAGTAGTTGTTCCTCTTGGTCCAGAGTTAACACGATATTATAATCAATTGATTGAATGTATCCGTGTGCCTCTTGATAGACTTAGTGAACGTGGAGCTCTATCACAGTGTGTTGGAGATCTTCGTCCAGAAAAACTAGCCAAATATACAATTGTCAAGGCAAGGGAAGATTGGTGTTCAAAAATGTTACCTAGTGTTACTCCAATGGAAAGCAGTTCAATTCAATGTGATTTCGGTCTAGTTATCTGCTTGCTTCATGGTTTAGAATTATTGATTCAGCATGGTTTACGCCCTCTTTATCGTTATTTAGAGGGTGTTTACTCTGGAAGTCGAGCTAGTCCACTGGTAAGAAGTCAACTTAACAAACTGCCGCATATGAGTTATCTATGGACAGAACTGGCCCAACGATTCGGTATGAATGTAGAATGTGCTGATGGAGTGTGGAAGCAAGAATGTATTGGTCCAGAGTTACTGCATTCTCAGGCACCATTTGTGGCAGGTCATCCGAAGCTGGATAAATTAAAAGAAATTTTGTATAGTCATTTTCGTTCATATGATAAAACGAATGTATGTGAAAAGAATTCAACACGCGTTATAGTTTTCACTCAATTTCGTGACTCAGTTGAAGAAATTATGCATATGCTCAAACATCTGAGACCATTGATTAGACCAGCATCATTCATAGGGCAAGGAACAAGAGTAGGTGGTAGTCCTTCCATAAATAATCAAGGTGATTCACCCAAAATAGCCACTCCACGACTTCCGAATGCACAAGGTGGGATATCACAACGTGATCAAATACGTGTGATGGACGCTTTTCGGTCAGGTGTTTATAACACTCTTGTATCCACATGTGTAGGTGAGGAGGGTATTGACGTTGGACAAGTTGATTTAATTGTTTGCTTTGACGCCTCCAGGTCACCAATACGATTAATGCAACGACTTGGTCGAACCGGTCGGAAACGCTTAGGACGAATAGTTGTGTTGCTTACAGCAGGTCGTGAAGAAAGAAATCATGCTATAAGTATTGCAAAGACTTCTTCTGTCCATAAAGCTTTGCTTGAGGGAGACGCATATCGTAAACTTGCATTTTATCCACATAATCCCAGAATGGTTCCACTCAGTGTTCAGCCTAAACTTCATTTCAAAAGCTTACAAGTAGAAAAGAAACTTGTGGATAAGATATCACCGCGAAACCGATCAGTTGTCCAAAAAAAGAGTTTACGCGAAAATATGTACAAATTGCACGCGGAATCAGTTGGCTTAGATCAACTGCCCATTAGGTTACATGCTGTTACATCAAGTCCCATCCTTTACCTATCGAAATCAGTTGCAACAGACATTCCTAAATCTAACTACCCAACAATCACAGATATGTACAATTTAACATCTGATGAAAGACTAGACGCGTTCAGAGAAACTATGCAGTCTACTCTTGTTAAGCAATCCAATGTTGGCTCATCTTCTTCATCTCAACATCTAATGTCACTTCTCCGATTGGTAGATTTTCATCGTCGGGGCCTTACTCAACTGTCTTATCATGCTCTTGGCCTACGGAATGTCGACATTGAAACGAATATGAGCAGAATAATTAAAACGGCACCTTTATCACAGAATAGTCAAGTGAAATCACCTAGCTCACCGCAAGAAAAGTGTACGCCCTCTTGTGACATACTTGTCGCCAAACCCACCAATATTAATACTGATTGTAATATGACTAACTCAATAGCAGAATTTGTGCATTGCCTTAAGGCAATTAGAGGTTTGGTGTCAAACGAATTATTTATTGACCCTCGTATTAGTGATTTTAACGACTGTACAGAAGAGTGTAGTCAAATACTTAATAATCTACACGATAGGAAATATGTTATTACAGTTAAATCTCTGGAAGCTGGATTAAATAAATGGCTAGCCAGTATAGATGATCAAAAATGTAGTTCCCTCCTAGCTCCATTAAGTCCACAATTGGATCTTAAGCTGAATTTAGAAAATAGTTTGCTTGAAGCTATTAATACAGAAATACAACTTCCCGGTGAAATCCACTCATCTGATGAACGTACCACAACCAATTATGAATATGTTGAAGAACCAAAGACAACAACAAGTCCACTAAAAACCGAAACTTCACTTCCTAATACTGTGAAAGATACTACTGAGTCATTTAACCTACATAAGACTCTAAGCAGCATAGCTCGGAGTACTCCTTTTGTCCGAAGATCTGTCAAGGGGACTTCGGTTGCTTCATCTAGTCAAGTTACTTCCGACGAGGCTTTAGCTTTACTGGAAAATTCGACTATTCATTTAGATGCATCAGGTCTGCTAGAGGATGAATCATTTGCACCAAATAATGGCTTCCGAAGCGCCGTTTTTACTGGTCCAACATTCCAAAATGTTAGTGAATTTTACAAATCAACTGATCTGTTTACCTTTGAAACAAAGCTTTCCTTGGGTGAAGAACTAGACGACGTTATTAAGCCTACTCAAGTACCCCAAATTGCAGGCGATTGCAACAATGCCGAGACGTTGAAATACGACGACTTTTCAACCGCTTCTAACAGTTCTTTTGATTCACAGATCAACTGGTCACCAATAGAACAGGTGACAGAAACGCTAAATACGCCGAACATCTTATATTCTTCATCGCCAATAAAAGAAACTGTAGAACATTCCTCAATCAGTCGAGTTCACAAAGATAGCTTGTCAGAAATTTTTCATGAAAATTCTATTCAGTCGTCAACACCCGGCAGATCAACAAAAGAGAACAAAATCAAGAGCGAACATATGCATCGTAAGTTCTTCTTATCACAAGCTGAATGTCCGAACAATGAGTCCTCTGATCAGCTTCATTCTAATGACCAAGACACGTATGATGACAGCTTCATAAACGATAACTCTGAGAGTGGCAATGGTGACTCATCTCATGTAAATACATCTGATATGATGAAGGTGTACCTTCAAGCTATTCGCAGTCCACAATTGTTTCCAGATAGTTTTAAAAGTCCACCAACTAAAATCACTTTCATTTCGCCGAAAACTTATGACAAAGGTAGCATGAAGAGAAATAACTTCATCTTTTCACAGGTTAGTTTACACCTATTGTATATTTTCATGATTGGTATAAGGTGTGTTCTAATACTTCCAGTTGTATTATCTAAATTGTTTTGTAAATAACTCAGTGGTTAAAAAACACTGATTCAAAATCAGTGGTGGTCCATGGGGTGAAGTGGTCAGAACAAAGTGCACAGACGTCTGGCCACTGGTCGTTGTCCCGCTTCTGGACTGAACGTTTGAGGCTAGCGTGAGCTTTAGATGCCGTTCAAACACGCAACCCTCTCTTACAACAAGTTACACTTGGAGAGACTATGGGTTCTCAATAGTAATGTGATCTTTCATAAGTACCGTGGTGCCTTACAACATTACTTAATTTATGTTACTGCTCCTACTGTTTCGTAAAAATGATATTATTTATTCCTAATCAACTAATGTAATATTTGTAGTGTTGTCTATAGCCTGATATTTATTTGTACGTTAAAATGTTTTTCTGAACATTGTAGACACCTGAACAAGATGAATATGAGTTGGATAGCTTCTGCGTAGATGACAATGAACCCTTGATATTTCAAAATCCCAAGTCAACTCCGCCTGCCCCCAAACTAAGGAGACGCATCCGAACTGGCACGCAAATCCAACAGTCTTTCGTCTAAATGTACATAGAAAACAAAATTTTATTGCATGGAGGATTTCTTCAAAAAATGTATTCAAATATTGTGGTACAGTTTTTAAATCTATTTAGCTAGGTCATTGATATGAATATAACTATGATAACCAGAATTTTTCTGAGATGTGCTAGAAAATGAAGCGTTGTTTACATGCGCAAAGGACTAGTTTAGTGCATCTGACTTTCCAATTTTTTCTTCAAAGACTCTGGCATAGATGGTGGAGGAGGGCGTGGTAACTGCATAGCTACTTTGAACCCGTCGTAGATGAACCACTGTAAGGCTGTTAGAGTTCCGATCATGATAATTCGAGGTCCAAGTCCGCTCCACATGCCTGAGAAAAACGGAAATAACAAGAAAATTTTACGTCTATCCGTCATTCATATGTAGAGTGCAAAATAAGACACGAACCAAAGTGCAATAGTGAACGAGTTTAGAGTGAGTGCATAGGGTAATTACTGAACTGATTGAGTGTGACATGGAATTACAATCGATTGGTCGGCTGTTGTGATACGGTCTTGTGCCAGTAGATAGAAGAAACTACTGGTAAGTCTCCTTGGAGCAAGAACTGCTCTAGGAAGACGTTTTATTTTGCGCACTATGACTCGATGCAACTAGACAGCTAGTCACACTTTAAGGTGTGCGCGATATCGGAAAAGAGTGAACCAGTCGGTTGCGTGATGCAATATTGTGTGCCAGTGGGTAAACGAAAGTACTGGCAAGTCTCCTTGGAGCAAGAACTGCTCTAGGAAGACGTTTTATTTTGCGCACTATGACTCGATGCAACTAGACAGCTAGTCACACTTTAAGGTGTGCGCGATATCGGAAAAGAGTGAACCAGTCGGTTGCATGATGCAATATTGTGTGCCAGTGGGTAAACGAAAGTACTGGCAAGTCTCCTTGGAGCAAGAACTGCTCTAGGAAGGCGTTTTATTTTGCGCACTATGACTCGATGCAACTAGACAGCTAGTCACACTTTAAGGTGTGCGCGATATCGGAAAAGAGTGAACCAGTCGGTTGCATGATGCAATATTGTGTGCCAGTGGGTAAACGAAAGTACTGGCAAGTCTCCTTGGAGCAAGAACTGCTCTAGGAAGGCGTTTTATTTTGCGCACTATGACTCGATGCAACTAGACAGCTAGTCACACTTTAAGGTGTGCGCGATATCGGAAAAAAGTGGACCGGTTGATTGTTACGAAATTTAAAATGGGGAAATAAGTGGCTTAGGGTTTATCACAAACAAACACCAGTCATTAAGTGGTCAGCCCGTTAGTGAAAAATGGATTGAAAATGTCATCGACGACGACTCGATTATTACCGGACGGTAAGCTATATGTGTGTATTTCCGAAGTCTGCAAACTAGGTTTACAACGTAGCCATTAAGATAAATAACGAAGATGTAATGCGATATACATTATGAAGAGCCGATCAATAAGAAGTCCTCAACTTTCCAGGCTTGTTGGTACTAGTAAGTTCTTTACAATCGTATATTCCTTCAGTTCGAGCCTGAATCACTCCACATAGGAAGAGACCTTAAAAATAAATTATTCAAGCCACAGAGAAGCAGTTGCCAGGTGGTGGATGTCGTTATTTAATCATGTGGATATCAATCGGAATTACTAGGGCACGTATACAATCCAGATCAATGCGCCCAAATGAATGGAATGATGTCCAATAAGATATCAAGATTTTTGCAAAACATTTCAGGGGGCGCATCAACTGGCTTATATTCGCCAACACGGATATGATAAGTACAATCTCGAGTGGAGCTGTGAAAGCTACAAAAAATGTTAAATGAAGCAAAGTAACCGACGGGCCGATAACATAGGTATTTAATTACTGGATTGTGCAGAAGTGGTCCTAGGGGAATGATACAGACTACCTAAAAGGAGACAAATATTCAATTTGCTTACAGTCCGCGATCATTAGTGAACCGAACAAAATAGGGAGTTTGATAACCTACACTTCAGGGTCCTGAGACATATCACACCAGCATCCTACAGTTGCTAGTATTCAGCTATATTGTTCGAGTCGGTGTGTACTGTGACGTGTCGGCAAATAATGTCATGTTAATGAAGGGACTTTTTCTAATCCCAAACAGCAGTGAAAGTGTTTATGGGAAGATGCCATTTGAAGTGAGAACGATCATTTAAACATCATAAATTCCCTTGTAAAACGACACGTTATATGTAGTGGAAGTGGTTCCCCTCTCTCAGGAGCTGATCTACTTTAATTTACTTACCTGAGAAATTTAGGTTTTGAGAAATGCTATCAAACAAAAAGCGAATATCTGTAAGCTCAGCACATGTTCTACCCTCAAGAACACAAGACAATGTTGCATGACCTGCTTAAACTAACTTTTGGGGGAGTGGGGTGGCGATAGCGGTTAATATTTACTTTACTTGTGAAGTACCATTAGGCATGGCAGACAGGTTGGATACATAGTTCTGACAAGCGGCCTAGTCATACCTGACGTTTTTAAAGATGCCCTGGGCCGCTTTGACGCACCGGCACAGCAACCCTCTTTGTTCCAATTTAGCCAAGACTGCCAGGAGCTAAACACAAAAGACTACATGTTAATCATCATGGCTGTTTTTACAGGACTTGTTGAGTATGACAAGATCACAAAAATAATTTAGAGTACGACCTAAGTCGGTGAATTTGGACGTTAATTGACTCACGGGTAGCAAATACTTATATCGAACTGCCTCCAAACACTTTAACTAATACTTACCCAACTAGTATTTTTCCTAATAGCCGTACTATCGAACGATTTTATTCTTTACTTATTCACTTAGTGTTATTTTTTTCAAGTATGACCACATAAAGTGAAATAGTTTAATGAAAATTCCAAACATGAGACCGGAGTGTAGTGAAGTTTGAAAGTCTTTACGAATAAGTACTCGCTACACGTGTAAAGGATAATCTGACTTACCAAGAAGACCCAAGTTTTTGGCAACTTCAACCAAGCGTGCATTTGGATCTTTGTTCAACTTCGATACAATAGTATCAGGAGGATGAGATACGATAGCGCAGAACACACCAGCTAAAAAATATTTTACTTCAAAAACAATAATTACCGATGTAACCCGCAGCGAATGTTACAACTAACTGTTCACCTTTCGTACACTCTTCACGTGGTTTAGGTACAACATGTTTATACAATGCTTCCACTGTGCGCTCAAAACAGGCGAACTTCATCATAGTATAGGGGATCTGACGACCCCAGAGAGGAGGAAGACCTTTGTAGAATCCAACAAAACCTTCATTCTTGTACATTTTTGGTACACCTTCTCGCAGAGTTTTCGCCCAACCAGGCATTGTTTGAATTCGTACTTTCACAGCTTCCATGGGGCAGAGCATAATGTCAGCGAAAAACTCTGCACTGGCACTTGCCGCTAGGTATACGGATGTCCTCCACAAATATGCATTTTCCTGAACATACGTTAAGGAAAAACTATGACTAATACCTCTGAGAGAAGGCCGTTGTAGATATGCTTGAACACTTCGTAAAATCCAAATTTTCCGAGTCCTTGGAGAGAATATCCAATAAACGTCGGTGCCCAGCCTTTTCCGAGACCTCGTATGCCTTCTTCGGCAACTGAGACTTTGAAACCATTTGTAATGTTTTTATATTTAGCTCGGTCAACTTGTATGCGGCATTTCACCAAATCCAAAGGAACTACCCCAGTGTGTGTAATACCACAACTAAGTACTCCGCCCAGACCGCAAAGGGCATAGTACTTCGCAGAACCATACTCACAACTGGTTTGGACTGACATCCGTAACGAGACAAATCTCCCGCAATGTGATGATATTAAAAAGTAGCTAGCTGATGTGTCCAATCGTGCAATTAAACAAAGTTCAATCCCCAGTCTGGATTTACAATATTCAATATCCTCTTTACTGTCCAAAATCAGCTTAATCGACCTGCTCGTCACATTTTATCTTGGAAAACGGTTTTTGGTCTCTGGTGAATATATGTATGAGTAAGATATATCCTCTTCACAGTGATTAGTTATTTACATTTGAAGGAAAGCTGAAGGTTTATTTCAAGAAGAATTAGTTACTGTGGCTGGTATTATCCCTTTCATCAATAGTCTCTCCACCTGTTTAAAGGGAAAAATGTGACAATAACTATATCATTAGGAATAAGAGTTAGAAAACGAAAATTGTGAAGATACCATGTGTAATAACGAGAGAGTGGTGAAAATAATTCAGCGATCTGAATGAATGAATTAAATTTCGTCTGATATAGATGATGAATTGAGCACCCACTTTAGGGCTGTAGTATTGTGGACAAACCTCAACTAGCTAATATCACAATACTCATAATGCGACGGTAGGTAATTCCCCAGAATAATTAACCACAGCATTCATCAATGAACATTGGATGCTGACCATCACCGTTTTAGTCGATTTGTTTAGCTGACGGCTTATGCCCAGACATCCACGCCATTTGCCACGCCTTCGTGTTACGCTCGTTCATACACGGTCCCTAGCTAGTTGAGCAATCATCTCGCTCTCCGATTTGGTCCTGAAATATAACTCGTAATTTGGACAATCATTTCTCTTGTTTTGCCTTACCTTTTGCCTACGCGGTACAAATACTTCAGAAATTGTGGGTATTAGATCTGACGTTATATGCTTCGTACTATCCATGAACGTCAACACCCTCAGTCTCTAAAATGTTTGTAGAAGCGTGAAAAAACAGGATAAACTGGGGAAGGCGGACTCCCGTCTCGACATTTTTTAATCCTTGTCGACTTATTCAATCATAAAGATAGAACAGCATATACCTTCCGTAGCTCACGTAAATATTTGGTTATTTCTTGAAGGATTCTGAGACAGTATGTCATAATATTCCCCATGTGATTTTCACTGAAATGCCCGCGAATTACAGTAGTGGAGGGTTGAAGAATACCCTGGATTCTGCAGTTTATCTATTATCGTTGTGGGTGGTTTTATAGATAATTATGTTAAGATCTTAAGGACTGCAGACAAAAGAATACACTAACAATATTCTTATTTGTGCGTCAGTGGTATAGTGGTTAGGACGCTCGCCGACCATGCACATGGCCCGGGGTTCGATTTCCGGCCGACGTACTCCTTTACCTCGCTAAGAAAGAAATAATGCTGGTGAAGAGGAAAGGTTGGCCATGAGGCTAGCAACCCCATCTGTAAAATAAACAATGCTACAGAAACTTCAAGCCGCTAGCTTGGAGCCCTATGTTCCACTGGGGAACGTGAAGGAAAAAAACAAAAAACAAACGACAAAAAATTCTTATTTGCTAATTTCGGCAAGGCTGCATGTTTAAGAGGCATTTGAACTTCTCCCTTATTATTCTTGTTAGTCATACTGAGGTTTATAGGTCTTTTCACCCTATTGGAATTAACACTGGCATACTCAGAGTACTGATTATTATTGTCATTTATGTTTATGACAACTTTTCTTTTACATTACTATCCTCTTTTGCGAAATAAATTTTATTAAACGCAGATGTACAGTTAGAGGGACGAAATCACCGAAAATTGACTCCTCACTTTACTGCTTGATTGGTGTCGTCACTTTATCTCTCTCTCTACCGTGGAAGTTAAGATATAAAGGTAAAGCAAATGGGACAGTGGAGATTCTCCTGAGCTACCGTTATTCATTTTCATAGTTTTGTAGTATTTTACGTAACTAAATGCAGCCACCAGAAAATGGTGAGTCCGGTATCGCGAAAATAACCGCTGACTGCTCTTTCACTTAAACGGCTGTTGATACGCATCAGCCTTCTTAAACTTCAATAATTAACTACTCAGTAGGTCACTAGTATATCCCACAACGCATCACTGATATCCCAGGTATTTACTTTATCTATAATTCACGGGTTGGGAAATTTTATCCTGTAGTAGGTCAAGCTACAGAATAGCGGCTACCAGAAAGAACTGTCGAAATAACCTTGAGGACGTTACACATCTTTCGCTTTTACCGGTCGCCACTGTCTGACTGCACAACGTGGTTAGGTTAAGGGTCAGATTTAGGGTTTGGATTAAGTCAGGCCTCAAGGCTATTGGCTATGGTTCGGGTTGGACTGGGGTTAGGTTTGGAGGTTTGCGTAAAGGACAGGTACTCTGTTAGTCAGTACGTACATTTAATTTACAACTTATATAAAAAACCTATGGGTCTTTACATCCACTGATCCCTGGTTATCTGCTCAAGGTCACTTTACTACCACCCTTCTGTACAATGGCTTGTTTGTACATTTCCGCCAATTGTAGCATCGTAATCTGTTGCTATGGCAGTGTTATGAAATTTTGCACTGTAAACATTTTTATGACTTACACATTATTGCTTGAATTACTTCGTTGAACTGCGTAACACTTGTTACACTTTAATGGGGAAATGTTGCTTGATGCTGATATCCTCTCAGTTTAATGGGTTAAAGGGGGTAGTAAATTCAAAAGTGACGCGTATATCATTGGACTCTCATGGAATCATGCTGATATATTATGGCTTGTTTATTGAAACGGCCTAGTCCCAATCGGATAAGAGTGGTGCCACTTCAGATAAGCAGTATACCATGTAATCACCGCTCTATGTATCGGTCAAATAGACATGTCCTCATCAGTTCAAAAAATCTTTGCGAGCTTGAAAACTGTAATGCCTTGTGGACTGAAAGTGTGCGAAACTTTCATTTGGGTTGGTAATTACTCATGTACCATCTTTTGTGCTTTTTGTAGCGGTAAATAATTCCCCAAAATTATTGACCACAGCATTCATCAATGAACATTGGATGCTGACCATCACTGTTTTAGTCGACGTGCTTAGCTGAAGGCTTCCGGTCAAGCATCCACGCCATTTGGTACCCTGTCCTGTCACGTTCGTGCACGATCATTATCCAGTTAAGCATTCATCTCGGTCTACGATTTGGTCCCGAAATATATCTCGTAGTTTGGACGATTAACTCTGGTCTTTTGTTTTGCCTTGGTTCACGAGGAACAAATACTATAGAAGCTGTTGATATAAGGTCTTGCGTTAGTATATTTCGTACAGTCCGCGAACGTCGATACCGTCAGCCTCTAAACTGGTGAGCCCGACCACCAACTTCATCTTTGGTAAATACGCAGATAAATCTGGTGAGTTCGTTCCTTTTTGTATTTGTTTCTGTACTATATTGTTATTGGCATACATTTCTCCATGAGTGATCCTAGTCCCAAGGTCATTCATATTCACTCAACTGCCAAAACAGTTCAGCCCGTACCATTTTGGCCAGATAATGCGGAAACATGGTTTCAGATAGCTGAGTCTGATTTTTGTGAGCATGGAATAACCGATCAACGTTCACAGTTCTTTGCAGTTATTAACGCCCTGCCGCGGGAATTCAGCAAGTGCGTAACTGTGCACATGTCGAGTCCAGAGTTAAGTAACTCGTACGAGTTGCTCAGCCGTGAGCATGATAACGAGAATGAGAGGGGTTATTGGCCAAAGTCAGTTCGATGAAGGACTTTTCAGAGAACTCTTCTTATCCAAAATGCCACAGTCAGTACAGACTGTACTTGTGACACTTCAGGGTGTTCTTATGGATGACTTAGCTGTTTCTGCGGATAAAATTCTAGAAATAACTAAACGGCCGGGTACTGAAATATGCTTGGTGGCCAAACAGATTTCGAGTAAGGATACTGCAGTGATTGAGTTATGCAACTCCATCCAGCAGATGCTTAGGTCAAACATGCCTAGTAATTCCTCCTACCGTCGTCCAAACCCCCTCAACGGCGAAACTCACGTGGTCGATCTAAGTCCAAGCCGCGTCCACTAAAATACCCTGACTGGTGCTGGTATCACAACACCTACGGCCAGGAAGCGAAATGTTGCCATAAACCTTGAAATTTCAGAAATGTCTCATTGTCTGTGGGAAACTATCCCGCCTGCACGCGTTAGCGGCAACCGTCGCCGGTGGTACTAGCCGCCTACTTTAAATTCATGATGTGGTCAGCCAGACCCGATATTAAGTCGACACAGGCGCCGAAGTCAGAGTCCTTCCTGCTACAGCAGCAGATCGACAGAAGGAACCTACCTTCAACTTACAGGCTGCAAACGGAAGACCAATTGCTACTTTTGGTAGGAAATACGTCTATCTGAACGTAGGTTCACGCAAACCTATTCAGTGGATTTTCCTTCTCGCTGACGTCCCAATGCCCATCATTGGCACGGACCTACTTAATCATCATGATTTAGCCGTAGACGTCCACCGAAAACAACTGATTGACTATACAACTAGTGTCCATCAAAGGCATCACCTATGTAGGCCCCGGCTTGTCACTCTGTGACTAATTGGTGAGTCACCTGGTGTTTTGTTAGTAGAAAAAACAACTCAGAACCTAAGTATTTTCTAGATGTGAACATGTTTACTTACTTTGGTGACAACTTAATCTTTTTATCAAGAAACCCCTAAGGATATCAACCTTTACTTAGTAATTAAAACTAAAAGCAATCGCCATGTTACTACGTTATTCAAAAGACTAATTTAGTTACTCAATAGATTAGTAGTTTCAGGAGACTACTCTACTCCTGTCTTCGAAATACTTTGCCCGATTGTGTTTTATTTCAAAATATGTGTATACTGGCCAGTTGATGTTTCTTATCCAGTTATGCTGTTATTCAGTTAAACTGTCCCACCCATGTTCCTATCAGTCAAAACATCCCTTAAACTATCAACAAGTTGCCATCACTTCTAAATAAGCAACCTTAACCATTTGGCATGAAAACGATGCTAATAACTTTTTCGACTAAGTGATGTTTCGACTTTCAAATAATCAGTTTTCCCTTACATGGGCGCCTGTTTCAGTTTTAACGGATAGTTCTAACCCTTGACGACCGAATTAGTACGTTTCGTTATATACTATCCTTAGAAAATGTGGG